CGTGGCGCCCCCTGTAACAAAATGTGAAATAATACATAAAATAATGTTCAATGATATGCCTAATGTGCCGATTTCATAAATATACAGTAACATTAAAAAAAAATTCAACCTTAAACGTACTGTATCATATTTTCAATAGTTATGTATCACCTTATATATATATATATATAGAGCGCATTTATTTTTCCGTAGCTTTGGTCTTCTTAAACGTACGTTCTATTTTATTGTTCAAGGTCTTTTCTGACACGTAATCTTTTTGTAAAATCGTTTTTGAAATTTCTTTGAATACTTTGTTAATTGGTAACAAATATGTAATAAAATCATTCAATAGTAAAAATGAAATTTGATATTAAAAATTAAATTCAAGGGCAGCTCTGTGGATATAAACAAAATGATCATGTTACAAACCTTTCTAGTTTAAGAACAAGTTTACTTAATATTAAGTAAGAACTGTTAGTAATAAAAGTTATTCGAGATATTCTGGGAAAAAGACACATTATAATATTATACAACCTCTGTGATTTAAGCGAGAACTGAGATTGAAGATAACAGGCAGTTGGGAAGAAAACACAGCTACACTGAAAAAAGTGTTGCATACGTTTCATAAAAATGCGTTGGGGTTTTCAGTAAGGGATGGGTTGGTCAGAGGTTAGAATCTAGGACATTGGATTCGCAAGGCCAGGGTACCTGTCTTTCCATAGACGGAATTTTGTCTTATTCATATAGTTAATTAAAACTTAATTTTATATTGGAAAATCACACATATAGTTTGTGCAAAACAAAGTTCGATGCATGTTAGTAATGTCGACATATTTGCCAAGCATTGTGCCCGACTTTTAAAAAAAATCACATAAAATAGATTAAGTTTAATATCTACAGAATTTAATGTGCCTATTTGTCACCATGGCAACGTTAGTATTTTTTGGATATGTTTTCTTCTATGGTACACTAGAAAGAAATTTTTAACATATCTAGAAATTCATAGAAATTCATAGAAATTCATAGAAATTCATAGAAATTCATAGAAATTCATAGAAATTCATAGAAATTCATAGAAATTCATAGAAATTCATAGAAATTCATAGAAATTCATAGAAATTCATAGAAATTCATAGAAATTCATAGAAATTCATAGAAATTCATAGAAATTCATAGAAATTCATAGAAATTCATAGAAATTCATAGAAATTCATAGAAATTCATAGAAATTCATAGAAATTCATAGAAATTCATAGAAATTCATAGAAATTCATAGAAATTCATAGAAATTCATAGAAATTCATAGAAATTCATAGAAATTCATAGAAATTCATAGAAATTCATAGAAATTCATAGAAATTCATAGAAATTCATAGAAATTCATAGAAATTCATAGAAATTCATAGAAATTCATAGAAATTCATAGAAATTCATAGAAATTCATAGAAATTCATAGAAATTCATAGAAATTCATAGAAATTCATAGAAATTCATAGAAATTCATAGAAATTCATAGAAATTCATAGAAATTCATAGAAATTCATAGAAATTCATAGAAATTCATAGAAATTCATAGAAATTCATAGAAATTCATAGAAATTCATAGAAATTCATAGAAATTCATAGAAATTCATAGAAATTCATAGAAATTCATAGAAATTCATAGAAATTCATAGAAATTCATAGAAATTCATAGAAATTCATAGAAATTCATAGAAATTCATAGAAATTCATAGAAATTCATAGAAATTCATAGAAATTCATATAAATTCATAGAAATTCATAGAAATTCATAGAAATTCATAGAAATTCATAGAAATTCATAGAAATTCATAGAAATTCATAGAAATTCATAGAAATTCATAGAAATTCATAGAAATTCATAGAAATTCATAGAAATTCATAGAAATTCATAGAAATTCATAGAAATTCATAGAAATTCATAGAAATTCATAGAAATTCATAGAAATTCATAGAAATTCATAGAAATTCATAGAAATTCATAGAAATTCATAGAAATTCATAGAAATTCATAGAAATTCATAGAAATTCATAGAAATTCATAGAAATTCATAGAAATTCATAGAAATTCATAGAAATTCATAGAAATTCATAGAAATTCATAGAAATTCATAGAAATTCATATAAATTCATAGAAATTCATAGAAATTCATAGAAATTCATAGAAATTCATAGAAATTCATAGAAATTCATAGAAATTCATAGAAATTCATAGAAATTCATAGAAATTCATAGAAATTCATAGAAATTCATAGAAATTCATAGAAATTCATAGAAATTCATAGAAATTCATAGAAATTCATAGAAATTCATAGAAATTCATAGAAATTCATAGAAATTCATAGAAATTCATAGAAATTCATAGAAATTCATGGAAATTCAATTCACAGAAATTCATAGAATTTCATAGAAATTTATATGCACTTAAACACAGACGGACATGCAGACAGACATGCAGTTAAGCAGACAGATAGACAGACAAGCAGACGAATTGTCAGACAGACACAAACGGACATCCAGATAGACAGATGACGTAAGCCTGGTTTATAAATACATCTAGCAAGCTGGAATGATACGAACGGTTGTATGTTAAGTTAAAGGCCATTTAGATCCTTCGCAAAAAAAAGAAGAATGACAGTTGACAGTTCTGCAAAAAAAATTAAGAAAATTCGTTGCCAACTTCACTCTCTACGGGGGTCAAGTGGCTTACTCTCTACTTTTGAGATATAGGCGTTAAATCGGGAAACTTTTCTTGAAAACAGGGGTCTGTGTTCTTGTTTTATCTCCGTAAAAAATCTTTTGTAAAATTGTAATTTTATGAATTTCTGGTAAATAAACCGTGTTTCTGATCTCTAGTTAATAGATTAACGGACACGTACAACATTGACAACAATTAATGTCACGCAGCAAGTTGTTAAGACATTTTAAGCTAAATTAAGAGTGCCAATTATGAACAATGTTGATAACTTTTTATATTTTCTTGTTAATACCGTCTAAAAAGGCAATGCAATTTTTGTTGCTTGTTTTTTCATTATGAAGTAAGAAACTCTATTAGTAATGAATTGTTTAGGGCAGGCCGGCACAACTCAGAATTTCAAAGGGCCAGTTTGCGAAACCGTATGTGTACGAGGGCCAAGAGAGACCTGAGCTAGTCTGCCCAGCTGTAAAAAAAAGTTCGTCAGCTTATAATTTATAAATCAATTCCTGCTGATCGAGCTTCTAAAAAAATAAGAGGTCGGCGGCTTATAATTTATAAACCAATTCCTGCTGATCGAGATTCTAAAAAAAAAAGTTGTCAGCCTAAATGCAAGTTTGTTACTGAAAAATGTATAGTTTGACGTAAGCGGGCCAAACTGGTCAACAACGGCCAACGGGCCGCCAAAACGACAATGCGGCCCGCGGGCCTTATGTTGTGCAGGCCTGGTTTAGGGTGTTGTAGCGAATTTCGTCCATCACATGATTTCATTTTTTTAACTGTTAATATTTGCTATAAAATTTTAAATGAGGTGTCCTATTTACAGATTTGAGGATTGCAACTGACACTCGAAAAAGGTTGAGGATAGGAGCGAAATGTTCACGTTGCAGGATGTCATTTTGTTGCCTAAAATTGACTTGTTTCGGTTTTTTTTATAAATATAGACAATAATTGAGCTACTGAATTTATTCCATTTATCTGTTACACACGGTTTGTTTACTATTCAAAAAACCAATCTTTGCATTAAATAATATTGACATTCTCTATGTTTATGAAACTCATATTTTATAGTAATTGGTACACCTTGATGCCGTGTTGATAAGACTAATTTCAAAAATTTATCTGATTTATGTTATGTAAATTATGAGGGTTTGTGGATTAAGCGAAATCGTTTTGGAATACTTTTATTTAAAAAAGAACTTTAAAAGATATATAAAAGAAAGAGTGAACAGTTTTTTATCAACACTTTTAACTCGTGCTTTTCTTATACGCCATCTTGTTCTAGGGCAACTATTGTTACCAACTTACATATATTTTGGTCTAAAAACTAACTAGATTTAACATTGTTACCAACATAAATAAATTGAGTATGTATTGATGTTTCAGTAATTGTATAAATTTGTCTCTATTTTTGTTATATAAACAGTTTTTTCTAAAAAACAAAAACAGTTTGAACAAGATGATTATTGTTATTTATTTCTACATACAAAATCCAAAAAAACCAGCGTTTCTTTAGTAACATTTTGAACAAAATCGTAAAAATGACAGGCCTTCGGATGGGCCACTATGTGGTATTATTGTTACTAAATTTAATATTAAATGACTGTTGGTGAAATGTAATTAGTTTAAGATGTCTTTTTTTGTTAATTCTGGGTCGATTTGAGTAAAAACTATGTTCAATTCATCTTCAAATATACTAATGGCTTTTGTAGTATCTACCTACTACCTACAGTTTAATTTTAATTAACTATATTTGATATACGTTTAAAGATTTTAGTTCAGATTAATTATGTAAAAAGGAATTCAATATTTCCCGTTAGTTATATATGAAAGAGCACATTTAAACTTAATTGTTTCTTGTAAAATAGCCTAACCAAATATAATCCTACATTTTCGAATCTTTTACATTCCTCAACTATTTTTACGATTAGGCAACCCTGTACGGTCGTGACTGCGTAAAATATTGCACAGAATTTGTCACAATATTGTAATCAAACACTAATTCAGGATATTAGTCAAAAAAATTAAGCCATGCATTCTAAAATTGAATACTGCCACTTCCCATTTATTTTCACACCTGTTAGGATAATAATTGTTTGTTTTTGCCTCGTGTTTAATACATATTCATAGATTTCACGTCATCGATCACAATGATCATAATGATCGATGACGTGCATCCGTTTTTGTATTAAAAAGCCTGTATTAATGAATAATTATAAAAACATTTTTTAATTATCTATGTCAACGATTTATTATTAATGATATCAATAATATCTATCCATTCATGTAGTAATTATTTGTTTCAGTTGGAAAACATCAACGTGTGTCTATCGTTTCTGCACAGCCAGCATGTCGCCGGCATCGAGAACGTCTCGGCGCAAGAACTGCGAGACGGCAAGTTGAAGGCTATTTTGGCGCTCTTCTTCGCCCTTTCGCGCCACAAGCAAGCCGCGAAAGCTGGCAGGCATCAAGTCTCCGCGCAACAGCAGCAGCAGGACATGACTCCTAATAGGTAGGCAACATACAATACGCTATTTGAATACTTGAGTAGAGAAAGTGGTGGAAGCGCTGGGTGTAGATGTAATACGTGTTGCATAAATTTAGAGCGTTATTTGCTTCTTGGTGGTGTTGCGTGTTGCGCGAAGATCACGTAATGGAATAGGATTTGAAAAATAATAATGGTTTATTTATTCTTTATTAAATATATTTATAACATAATGTTTACTTTTTAAATTAAGCATTGTTATGAGATGAACAGGGGAATAAAAACTTTAGTATGTTAAAGAATTGAAATATTTCATATTCATGTTATGTGTTAACAATTAATTAAAAAATAAATAAAAAAACTTACGCCCAGTGGCGTAGCTAGATAGGGGCCAGAGGGGCGCTTTGACGTTTGAGTCGGGTCGGCAAGTGTTTATTGTGTTATCGATTACCGATGCCAACAAGTAGTTTTTGGATACATCTGCCTATTCAAAGATTCAAAGAAAATTATGACAAAAATTAAGTCTAAAAAAACTGTCAACGACTCGTTGGGCAAGTCACACTAGAGCTCTTAATTCGATATTTGACAACACCTCCACTATAATAGAAGGAAAGCATCTCATCTAGTGAAATTTTAAGTACAAATGAGAGTTAAATGAAACAAATCGCATATCTTGAAGACACATTTTTTTTGGAGAAAATGCAAAAAGAGGTCGATTTTTATTTCAAAGGGGACATGTTTCGATTATATCCTCAACTATCCTACATCCCTCCCCACCCCTCTGTCACTATTACCAATGAAATTAAAATAAGGAAAGTACTAAGTGTGACACATCATTGAATAGGTACATACTTTGATTTTCTTTTACCATACGGAGAATGGTCGCACTGCGCAGCTTTCTGAGTGCCTTTTAAACATCCGCCATTTTGATCCCTTATTACGTGTTGCCTACATCTTGGCGCAATATTTTTAATAGGTGCGTTTTAATCATCCGCTTCTGCTTCGAAATTGTCGGTTTTCTTGTTTTAATCTGACAGGTTAAAACGACTAAACCGACAATTCCGGAAGCAGAAGCGGATGATTAAAACGCACCTGATATTTTGCTTGCTGCTGTCAGTGTCAGTGAATATTATTTTTGGAGTCACAGTTTATTGCTAAAGAATCAGTTAGCTCACTTGGACCAGTTAAAAGTTCCAAAATAACATCCACTCCAGGGATACAAATTCAGGATACGCAGAAGACTGCTGTTTTATTATAGGCGGTTGTCATATATTGTATTATCCGAGTTGCGCAGTGTATAAACTGGAATATTGAGATCAAAAGTGCCGACGCAGAGTGAGCGTCTGATTCTTTAGCTATAAACTGTGTCATAGGAATCAAAATGGCCGCGCCCTATGTTGGGCGTGTCGGACCTCTCTCTTGCCCCGTATAGTAATCAAAGTATGTGTGGTAGACATAGTACATATTAAACTGGCGTTGACAGATGATGTTACAAATAGAGAGGAACGTTCGTGAATGGTTCTGGAATCAACCGATCTAGAGCGTACAGAATCGTCAAAATAAATAATGTAGTAAGAGGTTAAAGGCTATACTAGGTTTCTAGGGATATGATCTACACATAAGTACGAAAAAACCAAAGCATGAATGGTTTCTATTTGTTATTTATTAAACAAATAAATTTAAAAAAATTCTGTTACCTTCTACAGAATTGTCAATGAAAAAACGTTACTTAAAAATATTGTAATTAATTTTAATAAATAATTTAGCAGTTTCATTGACTAGGAATACTTTTTTATTTTCTTAAAAATGTACAATGTGCACAAAAAAAATTAACCAATATTCACTTTACACTTCTTTAAAATTAAACAAAGTTTGATCTAAATAATATTTCTCGATACAAAAAGAAAATAAATGTTAAGTAAAGTGTAGGCATAATCTTGTATTTTAAGACAAAGCTTATATTATTTACAGTATATTTACAGAGAAGCTGGCAAATTCGCAATAGCACGCGTCCATTGTCCATTTTTAACAAGCGTTTTTTCATCAGACGACCTAAAAACATTACGAATAACAAAGAATAGTTACTTCTCTGTCATCGAGTATAATTTTAAAATGCACTACTTATTTGTTTTTCAAAGAAATATTACCTAAATAATAAAGATTAATAAACAAGGAAGTCCTGAGTTCCTATATAAACTCGCTAATACAACGTAATGTAATCTTAGCTCCGCATTGCGAAAATACATTAAAGTAGTTGAACTGAGACTACGTTATGTATTCAGTTTAACCTCAGAATGGGAACCTGAACAACTTTCCTTAATTTGAGTATGCACCGCACTCCAGGTTTCCTACGGGAAACGTAGGTACATTAATTTGTAGAGTACATTTAATTTTGTGTTAAGGTGTGAAGGAAATTAAGAAATACATACCATAGGGAATAATTTTTTAGAGGTAGATTATACCGGGTGTTCAAATTAAAGTGTTACAGTTAAATGCCGCCGGAAATATGCATTTTAGAAAAAAGTTTCAAAAAAAGTTTTATAGTTTTTTGGGGGTAACATTTTGGCTAAATTAATTTTTTTATTGCTGACCATAATATGGCCATATCGAGGTGTTTTTTTAAATAGGAATCCCATTTTTTACATATTCTTAAAGTACATAAAAAAATAAGAAACTTTTGATGGAAATATTTTTTTTATTGGATTTATTATGGTTAGCTATAAAAAATGATTTTAGCCAAATTTTTTTTTCCCACAAAACTATAAAACTTTCGTCTGAAACGGTTTTTTATAAAAGGCGGTATTTAGGTGTAACACTTTAATTTGAATACCCGGTATAGTTTAGACTGGAAACTGTTAAATTGAGTTTTATTTAAAATATAATACGGGTTGACATGTTGACAATGGAATAATTGGTCATACTGATGACAGTCTACTGTTTAACGCAAATTACAGCGATGCGGATGTAAAAATGTAAACTCAAATTAATAAATGTCGGTACTTCCCAGAATAATTTTTTTGTTAGACAAAACTGATAACTTTAATTTTGAAAATCAGCTCCGGGTCAATCTAAGCAAAACAATAAAACCTAACATACTTTATTAATTATTATTGACATTGGGCTAACATTGATATCATTTTCTTTTAAATCTTCGCTACCCACGTAAGGGTGCCTTCCTGTTTACAGGGAGGTCGTGGACTGTATAGTTGTAGAAAATTTGTAGAATCTTAGTGATGAATTGCAGGATAACTTGCCTTGGAATGTAATAATTCCTTCTGCTAACTTCTCTATAAACTTCGCATCTTGTACCACATAGTAATTGTATATTTTTATAAATAACTAAGATTTTCTTATAAACATGCTTGTTCTCTTTATATTGTTTCAAAGAAATAAAAACAGGTGTAGCTCCACAAGTGAGTTGTATAACGTGTCACGAGGCTTGTGTGTCACTGTTGTTATTGGTCTAGAGAAAAGCTTGTATGTTTGACACTGTCTTGTGATTGGTTTTTGAGAAAGTGGCATGAGATTAGGTCACCAGATTGGTGTGCACAGTAATAGAGTGTTGTAACTATTGAATAAGCGTATATATTTATTTTTAACGATTTATTTTAAATTTGCACATACGAGTGTAAGTGAAACAGATCTGCGAGTGAAAGAGAGAAAGTGAGAAATCTATATTTTGCGCTGGAAGTTAGGCTACAGGTGTGTGCATGGGAAATTTGGTCTATTATTAATGAATTGAGAGCCAAAAGTACCCATAAATCATGCAATGCAAAAATAAACCCTAACGATTTCAATACATTTTATTGCAATATAGCTGAAAGTCTAACAAAAAAATCTAAATAGAATAATTGACCCATTAGAATTTGTGAATTCGCCACCAATTAAATATTCATTTTCCTTAAGAGATACAAATCCCTTAGAAATATTAAAAGTATGTAATGATATAAACAACAAAACTGCATCAAGATATGATGGAATGTTAGTAAAATTATTTTTAAACTTACCTACCTCTGCATTAGACGTTTCATCCATTTTAATAAATAAAATGAAGGTACTTTTCTTAAAACGAGTGTTGTGGTTCAATTATATAAGAAAGAAGACTTGACTGAGCCGTCTAATTTTAGGCCCATATCTTTAATTCCGACACTGGGAAAAATTATTGAGAAACTTGTAAAAACTCAACTAGTTAGATATCTAAACCAAAATAATGTGCTGGAAATAAATCAATTCTGTTTTCAACACAACAAACACGTATCGGATGCTGTTTTTTCCTATTTGGGATTAGCCTATACAAATATAAATTTCAACGAGGCCGTAGTTGCAGATCTGACTAAAGCTTTTGACTGTGTCAACCACGGAGTATTGCTACGAAAGCTTGAAGTTTATGGCATAAGAGATGTGGCCTTGAGTTCGATGAAATCCTATCTTTTAGGTCGCAAACAGTTAGTCCGAACTGTTTCAGGCTCGAAAACAAGTAACACAAGGTGGGAGGTCCCTCAAGGTTCTGTTCTTGAGCCCACCCTGTTTTTAATTTATATAAATGATTTAAGTAAGTTGAAATATCTCAGGAAGTTTCACTCTATTTGCTGACGATACTACTATCTTGTGGCATAATAAAGACGTCAATATTCTTTATGCAAATATTAGTAATGACCTCAAATCTTTTAAAACATGGTGCACTGCAAATTTTCTATTATTATATTAAAAAAAAAAAATACTAATCTTTAAATGATATATTCCTGTTATTTTAATAGATATGGATAAGATAGAAGCCACAGACTCTATAAAATTTTTGGGTTTAAATATCGACACGGATTTGAAATTCAAATCTCATGTGGATCCACTTTTAAAAAAACTCGCATCGGGTTGTTATGCTATTAGAATTAACTCTTACGAATTAGGAGTTTGTGCAGTAAAAACTGCATATTATGCGTTAGTTGGCTCCCATTTATGCTATTCAGTTTTGGGAGTCTTGTCTGCCGAGTTATTTGGTCTTTATAATACAGAAATGAGCAATAAGGTTC